GGCAACACTGTGGTTCCAAGTCCCTTTCCCTGGTTGTCACCGGTGCTGTCCTGGTTATAGACGTGCCTTGGTAAGGTTAGAGTCCGTAATGCTGCGTTGAGTACTCTTTAGTCCAGTATTACACCGCATCCCGGTGTTTTAAATCCTCTTACTACTTGCTTCGTCGTCTCCGGTTCAGTATTCCGATCGAAGTGTGCGTGTTAAGGTTTTTTTTTTTTTATTTATTTATTTATTTTTTTTTTTTTTTTTTTTTTTTTTTGTTTTTTATTTTTTTTTTTTTTCCTTGTATTTTGGTTATTATTTATTTATTTTTCCCCCTGTATATTTTTTATAATTACTGATTTTTTATTATTATTATTTTTTATTTTTATTTTTTCCCCCCTTCCCACTTCTTCTCGCCCTCCCATCCCCCTCATGCCTCCACAGCTCCTCTCAGTCCAGGGCTCTGCGACTGTTCAAGTTCCCAGTTGGCATCTTTGTTAATTCTTTTCCTTCGTTCATACTGTTTGTTGATTGTCGTTTTCTAATTGAGGTGTATTCTCTGTATCAGCGTTGTTCTACGTCGTTGTGTTTTTTCGTATTATCATCCGTGACTTGGTTTTATGTCTTAGTTTTAGGGGCAGTTTGGGGGAAGGATTAGTGCGGTCTAGGTCTGTCTAGGTCTGTGTTTAGGAATGCCTTTTGGAGAGGAGGCCTCTAAGGGCCCCTCAATTTACACCGCCGTCCTGTGCAGCTTCTTCTCTGGGTAGTTGTCCCAATGCTTGTGTACCTCTGTGGGGGAGTCGGAAATCCTCTGGGATTTCTATTCCCAAATTGCGGAGGAAGGCTTTAGGGTCCGCTGAGGGCAGGAGTACGTCCGGTCTCGGTCCGTTAAATACTAGCATTTTGAAGGGGTGGCCCCATGCGAAGTTGAGGCCTTTGGCCCTGACTAGGTCGGCTATGGGTTTCCATTCCCTTCTCCTGGCTAGTGTGGCGGGTGCTATATCCTGGTATAGGTGTATTGTGGAGCCATCCAGTGAGTAAGTGTGGCGGCGGGCGCTTTTTATAATGGCTTCCTTGGTAGAGAAGAAATGCCACCGCATTATTACATCTCTGGGGGGGCTGTCAGGAGGGCCTCTTGCTCTTAGTGCCCTGTGTGCCCTGTCTATGGTCCACAGGTGTTCTGGTATGGTTGGTAGTTGCTCTTTAAATAGCCCCAGGAGCACCTTCTGTATGTCAGCATCTTTTATTCTTTCCGGTAGGCCTTTAACCCTTAAGTTATTTCTGCGGGACCTATTTGAGGCATCCTCAATTTCTGCTTCTAGTTCAGCCACCCTTGTGATGAGGTGGTTAGTGGTGGAGGCTGCTTCATTGTGTGCCGCTACCACCTGGTCCATCCTCCATTCTAAGGCCTCTGTGCGTTGCCCCACTGACTGAATCTCCTCCTTGACCTCCCTTGCAGATCTCTCTATTTCCCCTGCCAGGTAGTGTCTTACCTCTGCCAGGGATTGAAGAATCTCTGCGTTGGACGTCTGTGGGGGTTGGTGCCTGTGCTCTCCGGTGCTCGGGGAGTCTGGGGAGCCCGCGCTTATCTGGCCGCCGCCATCTTTGCTTACATGCGGTCTAGGCGTTGCGAGGAGGTCGGCCACTGACAGGGTACCTTCCTTCGTTTTTTTGCCGCTTTTTTTGTGCGTCGCCATCTCCCGGTATGTCCCTCTTGTGGTGAGAGGAGTTTGGGAACGTCGGCAGGGATGTAAGTGCTTCTTGCGTGGCGTTTTGGGTCGTGCAGGGCGCAGAGCTCTGAGCTTAAGCAGCCATTACTCTCGGTGGTCAGGCCACGCCCCCTCCTATTCATTCGATTTTGATTACCGTATATACTCGAGTATAAGCCGACCCGAATATAAGCTGAGGCCCCTAATTTTACCACAGAAAACTGGGAAAACTTATTGACTCGAGTATAAGCCTAGGGTGGGAAATGCAGCAGCTACTGGTAAATTTCTAAATAAAGTTAGATCCCAATAAAATTACATTAATTTAATATTTATTTACAGTGTGTGTATAGAATGAATGCAGTGTGTGTGTATATAATGAATGCAGAGTGTGTGTTTGTGTGTGTATATATAATGAATGCAGTGTGTGTGTGTTTGTGTGTTGTGTGTGTATATAATGCAGTGTGTGTGTTTGTGCAGTGTGTGTAAACTGGATGAGGGGAGGGCATTTTTATTTAAATTTTTTTATCTTAATATTATATTATTTTATTATTATTATTTTATTATTATATTATTATTATTTTAATATTATATTATTTTAATAATATTATTATTATTTTAATATTATTATTAAAAAAAATTAAATGGTTTTTTTTGTCCCCCTTCCCTGCTTGTTGCCTGGTCAGGGAGGGGGGACAAATAATGCAAATATTAAAATAATAATAATATAATAATAAAATAATATTATTAAAATAATATATTAAGGGGGCGGGGCCGGGCGGCCATGCTAGCAGGCTGCAGGTCACTATGGCTCCTGAGGAATCCAACTAATTTTGAGCAAATACCTACCTTATTCTGCCTGGAATACCCTGGAAGTTTGTGGCATCAAGTCCTGGAGTGTCCCGGTGCAGTTAGAACGCCTGATACAGGTGATTCTGGGTCCTGGAGAGATGCTCTGGGGCTTGGGGACTGAGGCCTACTCGGGAGGGGAGTGGGGCGGACGGCCGCTGCCCCGCTTTCTGCCACGGCTAATGCGACACTACACTAAAGCTGACGCCCTCCCCGGCCTCGTTCACCCCCCCCTTTGGACCGGCGGGGGTCATCCCGGTCCCCACCAGGCAGGCAAGCAAACTTCTCTGCATCGCTGCTGGGTGACTCGACACCGAAAGCGGCTCCCACGCGGCCTCCTTAAAATGGCCGACGGCGGCGCAATTACCCTAATGGCAGAGCAGGAGAGGATGAACCCCTTATGGCGCGCTGAAGAAGAGCCAGCAAACCACATAACCCAAGCTGTAAACACATCTGGAATACGACCGCAGACGGGCACTTACACTGAAGCGGCAATCCTCTGAAACAGGCTCAGTACCTGCTCCATCTAAGCACGCCTTACCAGCGCTTTCCACAACTGAGGCTCGAGATCAACACTGGAGGAGTGCTCAGAGAGGCCATCTTCAAACGCCAGCTCACCTAAATGCAGCCCGCACCTGGACATTGTGGCTTGAAAAGCACCGAGCGCATACCCACCTAATGACCGGAAAGTCTGTCAATGGCAATCTGCAGAACCTGTGCGGGACTGAGAGACTCAGTGAACCTCGTGGATACCCTACAGGGAAGCTCCCTAGGCATGGGAATCAGCTACCTTTTCACACCTTCCACATTGTCAGAGCCAGCGGTGACCCCAGCTTCTCACGACGAATTGCACCAAAGACACAGTCGGAAACTGTCCCCGACAGCCTCAATAAGAGATTACTTTGGCTGCATTTACTGTTACTCGGACATCCCTGCTGTTAATACCGCAGTTACTGTTATAGTAAATATTATTTTTATTCTTCTGCCTATTGTTGTCTACCCAGTATGCTAAACTATGCCTGGTGGTACTCTATCCAAATATCCAAGTACCTACCTTAGCTAAGCCTGAGAAATTTTTGTCTCACCAAAATGTCAGTATGCAATTCTATATTCGTACCTCATAAGCTGTAACATCCACCTGACAGATAGGATTAACTCTCAACTAAACTACTATACTGTCAGATCGCATACGTAGTTCATTATCACGCTAAGTAAACAGTAAACAGAATATGGTACCTGAATGTAATCTTATATAGGAGCCTTTATTATCAGGAAATGCGCATTGTCTAGCAAATACTATACCTGTTATCCACCTATGGTCTAAGCTTGTTAATATAATATAAAATGAGGTTGATAATCCTAGGAGATTTCTGTAATCTGTTATAGTGACCCTAATCTGTACAACTCTTGCAAGTCTCCCTCTCTTTTTTCTGTACCACCATAAGCACATGCCTCAATAAAATAAAGAATTAAAAAAAAATAATAATATATTAAAATAATAATATTATTTTATTATTATATTATTATTTTAATATTTGCATTATTTTTTTTAAATGTTTTTTTGTCCACCCTCACTGACCAGGCAACAAGCAGGGAGGGGGGACAAAAAATTTTTTAAAAAAAAATAATGCAAATATTAAAATAATAATATAATAATAAAATAATATTATTTTAATAATATTATTTTATTATTATTAAAATAAAATAATATTAAATCCCTGGTGGTCCAGTGGCATTGGCAGTTCAGTGGGGGGGCTGACAGTGAGCTGTTACTTACCTTCCTGCAGCTCCTGTCAGCTCCCTTCTCCTTCGTGCGGGTCTCGCAAGATTTACACTGGGAGCAGAACGGAGCTGACCGGGGAGCTGTACAGAGGAGAAGGGAGCTGACAGGAGCTGCAGGAAAGGTAAGTAACAGCTGACTGTCAGCCCCCAACAGGACCGTCGGGCTTGTAATGAGCCCGGCGGTCCTGGTCTGTATTATGGCAATGTAAGTTGCCATAATACAGACTGACTCAAGTATAAGCCGAGTTGGGGTTTTTCAGCACAAAAAATGTGCCGAAAAACTCGGCTTATACTCGAGTATATACGGTAGTTCCTTTTTATTCTTTTCGTTGCAAATAGATGACAATTGGATCAAAAATTATTCTCTTTCTTTTTTTTTGCTTTGGTTAATTGCGTGAATTTTGTAAATGGCCTGAGGTTGCTCTATTACTCGTGTAGAGTGGATCTGCCCCCATCTTGGCTTTGATTTGATTCTACCTGATATGGGGATCAGTGTGATATGAAATGGTACATTCTTCTTCTTTAATACTACATTACTATTATTATTATTGCCATTTATATAGTGCCAACAGATTCCGCAGTGCTTTAAAATATTATAAGAGGGGGGATTTAACTATAAATAGGACAATTACAAGAAAACTTACAGGAACGATAGGTTGAAGAGGACCCTGCTCAAACGAGCTTACAGTCTATAGGAGGTGGGGTATATGTGAGCTAAACCTTTTTGAGACCTGATTAGGGTATAACCAAAGGCAAAGCCAATTGAGTTTTTGTCCTTAGTGTTCTCTAGTTTTTCTTCTTTATCATTTTTCACACAGGGATTTTGGAGACTGAACATATCTACTGTAAATTTTAGTTTTTTGTTTTATTTTGTTTAGTTTTTTTCACTATCTGCATTAAGTGACCTGTTAAAGGGACATTCCAAGCTCCTTATCTTCCACAGCCCATTGTAGTGATTATGGTGCCTGGAGTGTCCTGGCATTCTACAAGGGTAAGTAATGAAACCATTTGCAAATGTAAAACCATTTGCCAGTGTATGGCCTCCCCTTGTCCTCCCACTTATGTGCATGTAAGGTGAAGTGGCCCCAAACCCTTCATCCACTTGGTAGGCTGTCAGATGGAACTTAAGAAAAAAAATGGGCAGAGGGTGTATACGGACATTACGAGGCACATCTCGCAAGAAACCAACCAATCACTCTGCTATAACTGCAAATTCAAGAAGGCGTGGCATATCTAAAGGCCTCCGTTAACTTGAATTTCAGTCTGCATGGAGCCAGGTTGAGAGATGTATGTTGTTTTGTACTTTCTCTAAAAAAATACTGGTGTTGTTCACCTAATAGTTAGTCCTTACACCTGTTCTCACAAGCAGAAGAAATTATGACAAAAATACAGGCTTTTTTAATTCAATGAACCCAAAACACCATAAGGTCAATAATAAATTGTCCCAACGGTATATATAGTTAGTATTCTAGTTTTTTGTTGACACTTGTCAAAAAAAAAAAAAAAAGGCACACATATTGCATGATTAGCTGCATAGTAAACCATATTGTAATGCTGACCTTACAATGCAGCAACACATTACAGGCAGAAACCTAGTGGCAGGATTCTGTAATACTGATGTCCAATGCAGCACACACAATTAGAGGTAGGAGTCTAGTGACAGAATACTGATGAAGATATTACATCCTGATCTCATAATGCAAAACACATGTATGTACATAGTGGGGAATTGTGATGCAGAATAAGAACAGAAGCCTATCCCACTTACCCCCCCAAATAAAGACAGACAATATAATTTGGGTGAAACAGGCCACAGCATTTATTATAACATATAATAAAATACTGCATAACAAATCAATAATTTATTTTAAACATTATCTTTCTTAATATAAACAAAATGTCATACATAAATAACCATAACGTAGCATGTTAGCATGTAGCTTAACACATAGTGTCATACAGTATAACCCAAACGTCATTGGCAATATACTGACCATGTGCCTATGCACCAAATATTCTCACCTCCCCCTCAACTATAAATTCCTTTCCTTCCAATGCTGACCACTAGCCGACCTTTTCTTTGCTCGGTGGGCACGTCCAGACAGGTAACCTAAAGTTAACCCTTTAGAGCAGGGGAGGTTGAGAACTGAAACTTGACCACATCATTCCACATATGGACATAACACCCCAAAACTGAATTGGCAAGGACACACCCCCGGCCACAACCCTGGCCTAAAATCAGTGGGGGACCCCAACCAAACCACAATAGGCCTGTTCCACCACTTCCTGCAGGGCGAGATTAAAGAGGTCGAGCCTGACTTCCGTCAAGTGCACCCAAGCCCCCTGGAATAAATTAGCAGCCTCTCGCTCAAACATTCTATGGTGAACCGGAATCCCCCGAACACCCAAAACAAATTTAGAAACCCTCCTGTTCAGTTTGCTACAGCAGCTTTCCATGGCACCCTGATTGCACCCTGATTGCAAGCTCGCTGCCAGAAATTACGGGCAATAACCTCAGACCAAACTAAGCATACGTCAGGGAATAAAACAAAAATACGTGCCAGGTCCCGCCTAATGGCAGACACCAAATCCCAGACAGGCACGACCCCATTCCCCGGTCCTTGTCATCCATTCCCCCCAAGATGGATGACAAGGACCGCGGGAACCCCCAGGAGGCAAGACAGCTGAACCAATTCGGGGAGGAGCCACACCCACCTCATGCCTCTGGCACCAAACCACGAACCTCTGCTTCGGAAGGCGTAAAACCCAACAGCTCGCATTGAAGCCGGACAGCCACATGCCTCATGGCCCAATAGGTATAGGAGTGTTCCATAATCAAAACCCTGGGGGGGACCAGTCCTGCGGAGAGAAAATTCAACTCAGGAGACCGGCAGGTCAAACTTAAGAAACATAGAGCACTGACTCCCACCTCCCAATTCTCTGAACTACCTGCACCGGCATGCCAAGCCTAGAGGCCTCCGTAGCAGCCCTGATACAGAATGAATGCCCCCCCGTACTCCCTGCCATCAATACCCAAGAACTCAAGCCCCAAGTGTAACACCCTAATGAATTGAAAATGGGAGAGAAAGCTTCCATCCTCGTGAATCAAAAGGGGGCCCGGAGATGCCGGGCGGAGGGGACAATACTCACAAAAGGAAAAACGAGACAAATTCTGGAACCTTGAACTGCACAAAAGTGAATCCACTTAAGACATCAGTCTTCGAGAGGCGAATCCTGAATGAAATACGGTCAACTGTGCAAAGAACATCACCAAAAAGCACCCCCTACCCCACTCGCTGATGACTCGAGCACACCAGCTCCCCGATTCACATGGCCCCAAAGAACGCCAGGGAAAAGGCCAGCTGAAATAGACGGGCCTCAAAAACAGAATGGCAGACCTTAGGTAAAGACTCACACAAACTAGACAAGAGAGCACACAAGACAGGACGCCTTGAGGGCCTGACGAACCACAAATGCCTTGGTAGCATCTTCCCATCCTCTGAGTTTTAACAGGAAGCTGAGCCCTGCAAAGCACTGAGAAACCGCAGAGGGGGACAGACCAGTGAACTCCCAAGCCCCTAGGCGAAGCAACAGCCAATGTAGGCAAGCAGATGAATCCTAGAAAACCCTGAGGGCACGCTCCCACCCGTCCCATTCACTCCACACCTTACTGTAGCGGGCCCACGTGGCCGTGGAGACCGACCCACGGACGAGCTCCATCAGTCTGCCAGGCCAAGCAAATCGTCCTCCGGAGTCACCACCCGAAATACTTCCCACTGTGAACGAGAGAGAGCATTGGCCATTACATTGTGAACCCCCGAGATATGCTCAGCCTTACAAGACACATTAAGAACCAAACAGTGCAGAACCAACAGTGCAGAACTAAGTGGTCAAGTGATTGATGGCCTGCACCACCCCAAGATTATCGCAATGGAAAACTACCCGCCTATTCTTGAGTTGGGGACCTCACATCTCTAATGCCACCAGAATGGGGAGGAGCTCCAGAAAAGTCACCGCCGCCTGCCAACAAAATAGCCCCAAAACCGACCTAGCTTGACGCATCGGTAAACAGATGGAGGTCCGTATTAGAGACCTCCAGGGCCTGCCAATACCATCTACCACTATAGGAGGCCAAGAAGGAATCCCAGATGGCCTGTCGTCCCGCAGTGACTGAGTAAGCCGAATAAAGTGTTGAGGGCGGGTGACCCCGGACGTCGCTGCTGCCAGACACCTGTTAAAGACTCGCCCCATGGGCAAAATCAGACAGGTAGGAGACTGCAAGCAGCACAGCTGAATCTTATGTCGCCCCAGAGCCAGCTTCTGCCGGAGGTCCTGAACCCTAATCAGGGGCAGCCGACATTCCCCAGCCACGGAATCGATCTCGATACCCAGGAAACTAAGGCGCCAAACCGGACCCACGGTCTTGTCATGAGCCAATAAGACACCAAATTGCTGAAACACATCCCCAACAACCCGCAGCAGCAGAGCGCAGATGTGCAAATCCGCCAGACCCACACACAAGAAGTCATCCAGATAATGCAAAAAGGAGTCGACCCCTGCCTCCCTTCACACTACCCACTCCAAGAAAGTGCTAAAACACTCAAAATAAAAATAGGATAGGGAGCAACCCATAGGGAGGCACATATCCAAATAAAACTGACCGTCAAAAGTACAACCCAGGAGGTGATGACCATCCGGGTGCACCAGAAAGCCGATTCCACATCATCCTTCGCCAGCAAAATCTCAGGGCCTGCCGCCCGGACCATGTGAACCACCGAAATCCGGCAAACTTCAGCAGAAATGTCATAATTTACCGAACCCCCTGAAGGGTACGACAAATGATGAATCAAAGGAAGGAGGGAGGAACAGAGGGAATGGAGGAGGTAGAAGGGAAACCAGGGCCCCCTCCCAGAGACAAGGGGGGCCCTGCGGAATGCAAAAGGGGGGACACAGGGGCAAGACCAGGGAAAGGGAGGGAGGAAAGAAACAGAAGAAGAGATAGGGGAGAGAGACCCACAGGAGCCATCCTCACTTGCAGAGGAGGCCCCAGACCCATGAGAGGTCCTCCCCCCAATCCCCAACGGCGGTATCCCGCGTGGCCCTGCAGGGCCTACTCTCCGCCGGGGCCCCAGTCACAACCCCGTCGTTGCGCCTGCCGGGGGGGATCTGGAAGGCCTCTAGACGGCCTCACACCTCCTGGGAGGTGCCGACCACCTCGTACCGCTGAAATGTAAAGATTCTGAATGGCTGCTATACTCACCATTTTGCTACTTTTGGCCCTAAATTTTAAATTCTCTTTAAACTTATGACAGTTCTCACTAAATAACCCTGACTGTGTGGAACTCACAACGCACCCCACTTACTCAGAGATAGGTGTGCAGCGATACACCCATTAACATACACATACATTCACCCTCTGATGAGCTCATTTGCAAAACGCGTCAGGGTGACTAGGGTTATCTCACCAAAATGAAGCAATCTTAGAACAGTGCTATCAGACAGTCTAAGAGTATATCAGACAGATATTATTATATTTTTTCGCTGCTAGGGTGACTGGGGGCAAATTATCAGTATCAGATACTCTAAATACCAGAAAAGTGCAAATTTTAACGGTATTCACCTAGGCTTTATTTCTGTGATTTGGAATTCTCTGAATCACAATAGCTACTGCAGTCAGCTACTAAAGACTATCAGAAGTTGAGCACAGCATCGTAGGAGTTAACTTTTGCCTCCCCAGTTTTTTATCTATCGGTCACTTAACTACTGTTAGATATTGTATGTATATATTTTGATACTGCACCTACTATTTCCTATCATTATTTTGGGATGGGGTTGTCTGATTTTCATTAAAAGGTGATCTTTTGATTGGTGGGTTAAGGGGTGCCTTTAAAAGCACAATAG